GGAGTTGTGCTGTCCTTTTTGCAGCAAGGGTTGGAGCGAAGGCTGTCTCCCTCCACCCTTAAAGTTTATGTCGCTGCAATCGCTGCTAACCACGACCCCGTAGAAGGAGGTCGTTGGGGAAGCATGACCTGGTCGTCAGGTTCCTTAAGGGGGCGAGAAGGTTAAATCCTCCACGGCCCCCCTCTATTCCCTCGTGGGACCTGACTCTGGTGCTCACAGCACTACAGCAGGCCCATTTGAGCCTTTTTGCAGGCGGTTGAGCTGAAGATCCTTTCAATGAAGACTTTGCTCCTGCTAGCATTGGCCTCAATCAAGAGGGTAGGGGACCTGCACGCATTTTCGGTCAACGATTTTTTTGCCTAGAGTTCGGGCCGGCTGATTCCCAGGTAACCCTGAGGCCATGGCCCGGCTACGTGCCCAAGGTTCCCTCCACTCCCTTCAGGGATCAGGTGGTGAACCTCCAAGCGCTGCCTCTCAGAGAAATTACGTATGGTAACCCTCGTTCCCTGAAGGAGGGAACGGAGACGTCACGTCCCGTCGCCACAGCTCCTGTACCACCGCTGAGTGACCGGGTCACCAGCTCGGCTCCTCAGCGAAAACCTGAATATGCGCTGCATCTGCTGCCTACTTATACTCACGCGGTGATCAGCAGCAGCTGGATGCAATAATCGCATGCCAATGTGCATTGGCTCTAAGCGAGATCCCAATTTCGTCGGTCAACTGACGTGACGTCTCCGTTCCCTCCTTCAGGGAACGAGGGTTACCATACCTAACCGAGACGTTTTTCTTACAGAAAGCTTAAATATATGCACGAGTCATCAATTTTATGTGACTTAAGTCTTTTTTCCCCTTATTGGAGCAGATGTGGTCACTATGAACTGTTGTGGTGATTACAGTGTTATTTATATATTATTATAGCATTATTTAAAAAAATGAATTCGCTTTTACTTTTATATTTTTGGTTTTCATTTTAGTTTAAGGAATTTTGTCATGTTGATTGTCTATTGTTACGTATTGTTGTTATGTATATATAAGTAAAACTTGATCATGTATAAAACTTATATATGGCTATTTATATATAACTTGATCTTCCAGTCAATATACAGCAATACTATATGGTCTGTTGACCGAAGAGATTCCTTCGTGGGTGGGGCTACACAATAGACCGGCAAAATCATTGCAATCAGTTACTTAGGACAAAACATAGAATAAGATGATAATAGTCCAAAATACGCTGGTATGCAAAAATTAGCCAATCAAATCAGATATTATTTGCATATAAAAGTCTTAAAGGCACAGTATTTTATGTCATATCTATTTTAATTATTTTAATTTTGCTTTATTTTCATTTCAGTTTTAATTGTAGTTAATGATAAATACATTGTATACTTGGAATCTAGCATTATTACAATTTCTCTTTAAATCCTAAAAAAAGTTTAAAAACCATACAGCTTTGGAAAGACATGAATGAGGGTGACACATGAATAACAAAATAATCATTTTTAGTGTACTGTTTCTTTAAAGTTTACTGTGTGCTCTAACAAAGAGTATCTGATGTCAGACAGTGTCACTGTCTTATGGTATGAATGAACCTTTCTGATTAGTATTAAGAAACTGCTTTAAAAACAGCTCTATTTGAACTAGTGAATCATGTTTTGTGCGGTGTGTGTGTGTGTGTGTGTGAGTGAGTGATACACACCTGATATCCCCATCTGCAGCTGCATCTGTGGGGCTGAAGGCACAAATACATAAATAACACTTTAAAAGACTCGCCTAAAGCATCATAAAAAGACATGTACACACACAAGCGTGACCTCTGCAGTACATTCTCTTAGCACATTAAACCTGAAGCACTGCTGCTGATGCCATGTAATAGGAGACCGGAGAAGTGCTGTGTAATCATGTATGGCTGAATCGCAATGCAGTGTAGCTGAACCGCTGAAGCTTTATATAGGGATGAGTACAGTAAGAAAGAGCCTTAATGGATTTTTCTATTGAGCATTTGGACATATAATGGCATGTTGTCCTTGATAAAATGTACAAGCCAGGAAAATATCAGGTTTTAGAGTATTGATTAAAACTATGGGAGAGTTGAATAATTATATCTGAAAACGATTTAACGCTGTGTTTGGAATAGCACACTAGCATACTATTTCTGTAGTACACATACTGTGCATTGTATGTGAACACAAACTGTGCAGGATATACAGTATAACAAAATACACTGCATGTAATACTTTATCCCACAATGCAATGTGCTCGACCTTCTTTTTCAAGTGTAACAAATACATGTAAACCAAGATCAACTATATTTTTTCTTTCTTCATTTGATTGGGCTTACCAAAGTAAATTGTTTACACAAAACCTAATTAAATATTTAGTTCTGACATGATAAAAAATGTGTTAATTTCACGTGCGAATCAACATCATGAATCACTGTTGAATTTTTAACACTGATATTGTTTCTCACTTTTACATTGTCTTGTTAAAATTTTAATTTATACAAATTTTGTTCAACTTTTTACAATTATTTAGCAGTAAACGTTTCAATCTTTTTTAGCATTTCAATGCTTGTTCACAGGTGAATCAACATCATGAATCAAGGTTCAATCAATGTTGAATCAACGGCGATACTGCAATGTTGTTTCAATGTTGACTTAGACGTATTTTGATAACTTTTTTTATAACCATTTAGCATTTAATGTTGTTTCAACATTTTGTCATGTTTCAACATTTATTCACAAGTGGAATCAACGTCAATTATGTTTCAATTTCACAACTTTGCGTGACATGACATTTTATGACTTTATACTTAAAGTATTTTGTTAAAAAAAAAAATCAGCATTGAAACAACAACATAATTCAACCACATTTCAATCATGAAGGCCAATCACATGCTAGCTAGGAATGGTCACTCACTCAATTACATGCACGTTTGAGGTCATGTGACAGTTTAAAATACTTCCTATTGCACAATCCATACGGTTTCAAATACATATTTAAACAGTAAATATATATTGTATACTGCACAGTATTCAGTATGCATCCTAGTATTCCATTCCAAACATAACCATTTTCTATTTCAGCTGTGACAAGAATGAATTGTGATTGCTTGTTGAGCTTTATTGGAAAAATTGCAATTTGGAATTGTTTATTGGAAAAGTGTAATCTCTTTACTACAGCATCCTTTATATGTGATGGGTCACATATAAAGGATGGTGTAGTAAAGAGATTACACTTTTTTTTAGATAACAGGCAGCATTTTTTAAAGTATCCAAATAGCTTTTTGAAATGTCTCTTGTCTGGTAATAACACACCTTGGCTTTGTAATGTATGACATAGTGATTGCAGCCAACAGTAATAAAAGACGTCTATTCTTGGCTGCCGTTCCAGCTCAAGTGCCAAGAACAGGACAGACACCTGCACACACTCACACACTGTGACAGCGCGTGCCGTTTTATTGATGACCGAGGGAACGGTAGTGCATTTTAGCACCAGCATCAACTGTTGACTTGGTAGTAAAACGCTTTTTAATAGTCCTCCAAAGAGCTAATACTTGAGCTGTTCCCTACAGAGTTTATGTATTTAACAGACAAACCAAATGAGTTCACCCATTATAGCAGATAAGAAAGCCTTTCAAATTGCAGCTGTGTCTGTTGGAGCCATGGTTTAGCGGCTATGCTAACGTGTTATGCACATACAAAGCGACACAAATCCAGCTGGTGTCATTTCCCGGTCTGGTTTTTTAAATAAATTCCTGCCATATAATAAAGTGGCCAAAACAACAATTGTCTCAAAACCTAGCAAGCAGCCTGACTAGCCACAATTTCCCCAAAATTAGGCATTGCAGGATGCAGCATATTTTTATTTTCAATAATTTGAGATAAGCTCGGCATGCCCAGTGTTGGGGAAAGTTACTTTTAAAAGTAATGCATTACAATATTGCGTTACTCCCTAAAAAAGTAACTGTGTAACTTAGTTACTATAGAAAGTAATGCGTTACTTTTGCATTACTTTTTCTCATCTGGGCTGGGCTTGCTTGTTTCTAATATAAAAAGCTCTGTTTTTGGCAAACGTAAAAGCACTTTCACACCAAAAGTGAAATTAATTAGCTTCAGGCAGAAGGAAAAGTAAATTCACATCTGTACAGTAGAGGGTGCAGCTCAAGCTGTGCTGTCATTCTGGATTGCATGAAGAATAGGACGCAGGACTACAAACACTATTGTTATGTTTATCTAAAGTTATTTTTGTTTATTAGTGTGATTGACTTCGATCATCGAAGGCTAGCAGTAAAGACATTGATTAATAAAATGGGATTAAATACATAAAGGATATTTGTGTTATTGCAGGTTTGCGTAATATTCTGAGTTTGCATTTCATTGTTTTTATTCATTTTGAGGAATACTGAATCTGTTTTTGTGGAGGTGAGATGAGTAAATGCATGTTCACATTTAGTCTAGAACTACAGTAACATCATGTTCACACAGCGCACACAACGCCTCTGAACTCACTCCTGATTTCTCTTAACATGGGGACAGGAGAGCTGTCCATCGATAAATGAGAAAACAATAAATGTGTACTTCTGGAGTCTGAAGGGCACATAATAATTCAAACAATATGGAAATGCAAAGTTTCCCCAAAAAACTATGCATTCGCCCACTACCATTTTTTCCCTCGCAAATGTTTTGCATTCCCCACAGAACTTTTCATTCGCTGACAAAAATTTGCGTTCTCTCTCAAAAATGTGTTCTCTCGCCAGGCCCGGTTCAGAATCAAATTACTGAGGGTGCTTCTTAAATTAGTGAGGGTGCTTTTTATATAGTATATATATATATATTAGTAGCGTCCGTCCGTTGCTATGGTGCAAAGAGAGCTCTGTATAATCACTAAAAGTGGTCACTCATCTTAGTTCATCGCGATCCCACAAAGATACGTTATAATCAATGAAGTTCTCTACGCTGCACAACAAATCTCTTATTTACATTGCGTCTACACTTTGTTATAATGAGATGATTCGTGGTGAACACAATACCTGAACAAAAATCTCCAGCGATTTCAGCGAGTGGATTCAAACATAAATGCCTCTGATTCAAGAAATCAACAGATATGCTCGTGATTGGCTACATTGCTCAATGCTGCAAAAACACGTTGAAATAGAAACCGATCTCCAGAGCGCAAACCATAGCGCACTGGCAAACGCCAAATCTACAATGAAGTGCCATTAATACAGCTTTAAGCGAGGGTGCTATTGATTTAGTTTGAGGGTGCTTAGCACCCTCTAGCACCCCCGTAGAACCGGGCCTGTCTCTTGCAAAGGTTTTGTTCCCTTAAGAAACTCAGAAACTCACTCGCAAAAAAACATTGCATTCACCCACAAAAATGTGTCCTCATGCAAATGTTTTGCGTTCCCCAAAGACCTTTGAAATCGCTCACAAAAATTTGCATTCTCTCATAAAGGTTTTGTGTTTCCTGATAGACTTTGTTCGCTCACAAAACGTTATCTTCTAAAAGTGCTGCGTTCCACAGAGAAACATTGCGTTTGCTTATAAAATGCACTGAAAAATTGTTTTGTTTTATTTTTTCCCATCACCTTGTTCTTTTAGGGGCTCAATACATTTAAAATGAATACAAAAAGCCTTTCGATGCTTATCAATACTGAATGCAATATATCCATAATCAACATTTGCCTTCCCACAATCTGTCCAACGCAATGCATTCTGGTACTTCCATGAAGAATACATGAAATGCTGCTTACGATTTTGGCCATAATGAAGTATCTTAGATGGTTGAATAATTTGCTGCCTACCGTCTGAACAAGTTTGTGCAACTATGACTTAAAATGTTGTCTAGGTGAGCAGCCTAAGCAAAAATGTAAAACATAATTGTCAAAAACTCCAGCATAACATGTAAAGCTACAATAATGGCGGATATATTAAAAAGGTTATAGTGAATTTTAAAATCTATTTGTATGTGTTGTTGTCATTATAAAGACCTCATAGAGTGGCTGAGAGGAAATACAGAGCCCAGAAGAACAAAGCTGAGGGATTAATGCCGACAAACACAGAGCAAAGCATCAGCACTGCACAGCATGACAGGACACGTCCACACACCCTCAGCGAGTACACAATAATTAACAGACTCTCTGCAGGACGTGATAATGTTTACGTCTGTTCTGCAGCTTTGTAAGACAAAAAGAACCAACCTTTCATTTCCTTCTGCATCCAGAGTGGGCAGTCTGCAAAATAATACACATAAAATGAATAACTCAACAAGGAGGTGAAATTAACATAAATATATTTATGTTAATAGATTCTGATAAACTGTGCTGAGAAAACAAAAAAACATAAATCAGAGCTAAAATCAGTAATAAGTACATTAAGTGATTTATTGTACTTAAATTAAATTTCTAAGAGATTCTGGTCAAGGATAAGTGTGGTGCTGTAATATTGCAAGGACTCAGAAAGGCAAGATACAATGGCGCACAAAGTAAATCTGTAAAGTGCCACTGCGAGATTTGAAATTAGCTCTGAGGCTAAACAAATCAAAACTGTTCTTGAAAAGTGAACAGGAATATAAATAAGAGATTTTCTGCTGCCTGGAGGCATTAGCTGCAGTCGTAGGTCTTATGCTCTGTCCTTTCAAACCTGGAAAAAGAACCAGGAAATACTGCGGCACATCTAAAGCCATAAGATACATTTCTTATTAATGCTTTTCAATGATGGCTTTATAGTTAAGCCACATAGGACTCCACATGTCAATTTAAGAGAGGCTGTTTTGGAGATGTTAAGTCTTACTGCAACATGCTTAGTCTTAACCATTTTCCATGTTGACCAATTTCACCTTCATTATCTCTTCGTAGTGTTTGTTTTAATGGGAATGTACTGTCAATCCACATGAAGGGCAACCATAGAAAGCAGATGACACATGCTGTGCCAGGAAGGTGATTTTTGAATACCATACTGAGAGATGTAATTAGCCACCGTGTGCCATTATAAAATGACTGACATTATTAAAACCATGGCATGGCAGAGAGGTGCTAAGCTTAACAATATGCCATGGTTTAAGCGCCCAATAAGACAAATAAGCCTCAAAGACAAATAATTTATAAAATACTGGTAATATAATTATTGTACAAATTTTAATGATACAGAGTCTTGAATTATTTATTTATGAACAAATATGTAATTATTATATTAATACAAATATATGATAAATAATAATTTATTTAAATATAATTAAAATGTAAATATAATTGCATTTAGATAGTACATTTCACATTAAATATTAAACATTCAAATATAAACAATATATGAAATACTGTTTTAATATTACTTTTAATAATTATTATATTATCAAATTATATTTTATTATCACCAAGAACTGCTTAAAACCTAACATTTGTGATGCTGCAAAGTAACAATTTCAGCAAATGTTGTGGTAGCAGTAAATGTTTACAGAAAACAACAACAAACATTTATTTACTATATTTACTAATTTATTACTGCTTCTAAAATAGTGACAGCTAAGTTCACTATGTTGTGTTGTAGATTTGTGTTTAGGACATTAAAGGGCATTGACATCTGAAGCCGTTAAAGTCATTTATCTGGGCAGATAAACAGTTGTCTGATAAATGACTGAGAAAAGAAACGTTGATACTCTTGCCACCTCGTTTGTAGAAACAAACTTAATACAGAAAATTCTGAATGCATGTATTTTGGCTGTTATTTACAAAACAGTATTAGCCCGTTAAGTAAACTGTGTGTGATCCCTTTAAATAAAACAAAATATCAGACAAAAAATAAACAGAAACGGTAAATGTTTACAAGCAACAACTTTCAGAGATCAAAGACTATTTCGCTTATCTATTACTTGCTGCAAATTTCTTATTTACAATGTTTTGAACATGACATGTTGAGATCAGAAGCCGTCAGAGCCATTCATGTGGGCATTTCTCTGATAAATGATTCAGATAAAAGAGAGGTTTTCTTGCCATGGCGCCTGATACTCTCTGATCATCAGCCAGAAACTTTGTATCCAACATGAACATACACACGTAAAAACCATTTCCTTTCCAATTAGTCAACACCCAAATAACACTGTAAATTTTGGTACTGGTAGTATAAACATTTGCTTTTCGAGACCGACATTTAGCCTGCTTGAAAACTACACAACTTTTCAAGGAGATATTTTGTGCTGTAAGGCTTTGTAGTCTATTTTTAGGCATAACATACATTTTGCTTCACCCTCAGCTAACAATACTTTACACACATAGCATGCAAGCTGTTTGAATACTGGAGATGGTTCTCATACACGGAATGGAGAGAAGACAAGTGCTCAAATAATTCACGTGGATAATTCATCTTATGTCATTCTGTAGGATCTAGATGTTCTTTGGTGTCAGACACTTTATGCAATGTACGAAAACGCATAAGAAGGTGCTTGGTCAGCGCATTTGTGGTTGCAGTAACAAACTTCAGTACTCAAAGGGCGCTAGAGTTACTTTCAAATGTCTGTGCCATTAAACTAGATGCATCATTATTCAGGTTTAACTAATTTAAAGAGCATTGGTCTCGGGTCTGAGAGGGTAATTCAATTCAGACAGCTCAAAAGGGTAACCTTTTCATTTCATTGACTGCTTCCAAACCATGCCTCTATCTTACAGATATGAACATCTCCTTTATGTTTTAATCTAAAACACTTTAAGTGGATCCACATTGTCAGTCTAATCCCATTGTATCGTAAGTAGCCCCTTTGATTTGGGCTCATTTGGTTGGTTGTTGCCAGGAGGGACTGGCACTTGAACAAACACCCTTCTGTATTGTGCTTGACCCTGGACGTGTCTTTTAAACATCAAAAAACAAGCCCCAAATCAACATTGTAATCACTAATAGCCTGCATGACAGCATGGGCTGATGAACAGGTGACTAATTTGTGAAGAGGACTTTAAATGATGGTGGACGGGAACATAACAGCTTCTGTTTGACCTCTGAAGGTCAGGAGTGTGACGTGTAGGGAGTGAGGGAAGGGTTTCTAGTGCTCAACAACATAAGCAACAAAGTGCTGCTGAAATGGCCCCGTTGCCCTTGATCTACTGACTTTTAAAGCATTATGGGATGCACTGACACATTATGTTTGAAATATTAAGCATTACACAATTATAGTAATAAAATGTAAATATTAGAAATAAAATAAGTTGAAGTTCTAAAATCACTGAAACTAAAATACAAACATATTAAAGCTACAAAGAATAAAAAAAACCTTAAACTTAAAACACAAAGTAAAATTAAAATGAAAACTGAAAATATAAAAAAATAAAATAAAATAAAAAATAATAATTATTGTAAGTGTGATACTTCTTAATTGTAGTTTTCAAGAAGTTGCTTTAATGAATTCAGCCCTAGATCTTTTTGCAGATTATTTTCAGTAAATGCTCTCTTTTTTTTTTTGGTCTGCTGAGGACATTTTGAGCTCTGAAAAAGTTTGTTTTCGTAGTACTTTGAACCCTGTTAAATAAATTTGATTCCTTGTGATGCCTGCAATAAATCCAGATTCCAAAATTCTGCTGTTTTCCCTCACAAAATCAATGTGGATTCTCTGTGGGTCAACCGATGGCACACAAAACTGGGAATCAATACCAGTGGTAGTCCAATTTCTCCTTTACAGGGTCCTGCTGTGTTTTTCACAAGCCTGGAACTGAACAACCACATTACTTCAGATTTTCTTTAGAATATTAACAGAAGCTGGTAACATAAGAAACTTTATATCACCTAGAGACTGAGCATAGCGTTATATAAGCTCACAAAACAGCCTCACTTAACTGACCCCTATGAGAATGTTTCTTTATATAATAGTGACTCTGAGAATCACCAATTTAAACACCCACATCATCATTAAAGCAATTTTAAGATCTTTATGAAAGGCATTACTTGTTACAATATCTTCTCTGCACACAGCACTTTTATTCAGAGAGCTCTCATGGACAAATGAGATTCAATCCTATCAACACACCAATCACTTCAACCAGGCCTGAATATGAAGTTAGGGTGACCACTTCTGCCATCGATGGGAGCGTTGCAATTAACAGCAAATTCCCATCATTCATCCTTATAATTCTATCATGCAACACATTTATTTACGTTAAAGCCCTTTTTCTTAACAAAAAGTGTTTCAAAATTATTTTTTTTTGAAGTGTCAGCATAGTATTTACAGTTAAAGTTAAACGAAAACAAGATTTTGTCGACACATGCAACATTTTAGCAATAATTTGCATTTTTTTTCACAGAAAAATGGGAACTTGGCTGTTGTTTATGAAAGCCCGCTTCAGCCACTGAATAAAAAATGCAACAAGGTAATTGTGATTTTTTTTCTTGCAATTTTTACTTTTTCTAGGAACTGTGAGTTTATAACTTGCAATTTCGAGAAAGTTTATAGAAAGTCAGAATTGAGAGATATAAACTCACAATTCTGAGAAAAAAGTCAGAATTGCGAGGAAAAAAAGTCAGAATAGTAAGATATAAACTTGCAATTCTGAGAAAAAAGACAGAATTGTTTTCTGTTTACATCTTACACTTCTGACGTTTTCTCGCAATTCTGGCTTTGTAACACGCAATTGTGAGTTAAATCAGAACTGTGAGATATAAACTCGCAATTGTAAGAAAATTATCTGTATAGTTGAAGTTAATAACTTGCAATTGCTAGTTTAGATCTCACAATTCTGAGAAAAAAAAGTCCGAATTGCGAGAAAAAAGTCAAAGTTGCAAGATAGTTGTTAGCTAAATAATTGTCAAGGCTCATTCACACTAAGAACGATAAGCATAATGACAACGATAACTATATCAGCATCCACACCAAAGGATGCTACCCAGATAGCACACGAACATCTGCAAGATGTCTGTTAAAGATCTCCTCATCTGGAAAGCATCTGTTGTGTACAAACATCTGATAGACATCTCTAAGATGTCAGTTTTACACACATGATAAATCATAAACATCTTAAAGACATCTTCTAAACGTCTATTTGACATCTGATAGGAAACATAGACGTATTGAAGATGAGAAAACACTAAAAAAATACGTCTTGCAGATGTCAAACAGACATCTCCGTTATGTACGCGTGCCATCAGGATAATGTTCAGTTCATTATAAGCAAATGCCCCTTTAAATGCTTGAGCTCTTTGAAGTCAGGTGGATTCTGATTGGCTGTCAATGTTTTTAATGTTCATCAGCTGGGAAACAAAAATCATTCTGAAAGTGATTCCAACAATATTGTTCCTCATGTCGTTACTGTTGTGGTGTGGACTTCACTACTCTCACAGAATTAGACTGATTATTATAATTTCCAATTATAGATATCGTCCTTGGTGTGAACAGGCCTTTACTCTTCAACGCTATCAGTCGCTCCAGAAGTTATGCTGAACACAATGTTTCATGACCATCTAAAAAAATCTGCATTCTCACCTGTTCCATTTAACAGTGCCGGAGATCTTCTGCATCTCACCCAGTGCAGCCAACAACAGAGATGATTTCCCACAACCCACCTGGCCCACTATCATAGTTAACTGACCTGCAGAGAGAATCAATCAAGAATCAAGATAAATGGGGTTTCATGGAGCAACAAAACACAACTGTATGTTCAAATAATAGTTCACTCATATTGAAAATTCTGTGTTTTTCATCAAATAATGATTTAAATTTCAATATTTTCTACAGGCAATATGATTATTTGGTTTTGGAATATATCGCACAAGTCATATGGGCTACTTTTATGATACTTCACGTCCTTTTGGAGCTTTGAGCAACCATCAATGTTTTTCTTGTATGGAAAAGAGCAGCCTGCACATTCTTCAAAACATCTCCTATTGTGTTCCACGTAAAAGAGGAAGTTTCATTTATGGGTAAACTATATGTTTTAAATTAGTAAAGATGGGATCAGGAAATACCACAAGCCATCCGCCAGTATCTGTAGATGTATTTTTGACAGGACTTACCAAAAGGAATCTTAATATTCACATTGGACAACGTTGGGGTTCCATCAGTCCAGCTGAAATATCCATTTGTGATCTGGAATGGACATAAAGGAGGCGGATAGTTATTCTTCACGCAGCTCAGTTTCCTGTTTACTGCCCGAGTACAGAAATAACCCATATTAGTCTCACCTTGATACAGATATCTTCATCCTCCACCGCCAGCGGCTCGTCCTCCTGCTCGCTCTGAAGGGCGAAGCTGTTCCAGTCGTCTCTGACGGGCCGCTTACGGTTCACCACCTTCAGAGGCTTTATCAGAGGTGAGAAAAACAGCATCAGCGTGAACAGCCTCTTTAACAGTGCTAACCTCTCCATGCTGACCAGTATTGTGATATTATGAACATAAATAATGCATAGTCACAGTCATGAATAAAAATATCGGTATTTTTCATTTTTCATAACACAACATGGCGATTACTACGGCTGGATTACTGAGAGTGTGGGAGCCTAAGCCTTGAGGCCTATTCATATAAAAAACAAAAATTTGAATTTTGATCAAAATAATTCATTTCTGTGGGCCTAATCGAACATGAAAATGTATCCACAGCTTATTATTTTTTATTTCCTGGTGAGCAGCTAAACTGAAACAAATTTCAGACCAGAGGTCAGACCATAACATGCCAAAAAAAACAAACAAACAAAAAAAAGACACTCATTCCTTTAAAGAATTAAACTTCTTTCAGATATGTCACTTTTTATTTATTTAAAAAATTTACACTTCAGACAAAAGCACGTTTTAATTAATGTATTTATTGAATAAATACATATTTTTATTTACTTTAATAATTAATTAATTAATTCACATCAAGAATAAAACAAAATTCAGATAAAAGGTCACATTTCGATTCATCAATGCATGTATTTATTGGATAAATAAATGATTTAATAATTATTTTTAATAATAAATATATACTTTTTTAATTTAATTATTTGTCTTATTCACATTAAGAATTATATTTCAGACAACAGGCACATTTTAGTCATTTTAATTGAAGTATTTATTGAATTAATAAAAACTATTTATTTATAATTAAAGCATTTATTTATCTATTTATTTAAATAATGTACTTGCTTTTTTGCTTGTTTGTTTTAAATGTATTTATTCACATCAACTGCAGATACATGGTCACTGTTTAATTTATGTATTTATTGAATGAATAAAAATTATTTATTATGCAATTAATGATTTAATTAATAATACATAATTTACTTGATTATTTTTGAATAATAATTTATCTATTTATTATACACATCGAGATTTTAAAAAAGGTCACATTTCCATATTTTTTTTTTTTACTGAATAAATACATTATTTTCATTAATTCATTAAAAACATTTAAAAAAGGCAGCGGCTATTTGCACTAAGTGTAAATATCAATTAGATGCTATTTACACTAAGTGCAACTAGCAATGGATTCTATTTACACTATGTTAAAATAGTAAGATTTTCTGCTCTTTATACTACTTATTGCAAATAGTGGCAATTATCCACTATTTGTAAATTATAATTTAAATTCAAATGATTAAATAGATGCCACCTTTTTGGGACAATAAAGACCTCCCTAGACCTCCCCTAACCCTACCCGATACTTTATTTTCAACTTTTTGATTATTTCCTTCATTTTTATGAAAATAAATGCCTTTCCGATGTGATATGAGATTTGAAAAGGGAGAAAAAAAAAGTTCGGCAAAAGGCGGATTCGAACCTGGGTCGATCACGTCAAAAAAAAAAAAAGACTATAGTATATGCTTTACCATCTACGCCACTGGAGCTAACAATTGACATCCATCTTTTATAGTGTTGACTAGCCCTATCATACGTTTGTGGGTAGAGCTAGTGTAAATTGCCTCTGCCAACAAGGCGGGCTATTTGCACTTAGTGTAAAGACACTCACACACTTTTACATTTCATCTGCTTTTTTTCCCTTCTACTTCTTCTACATTCTTGCCATGAATAAGCGTTTATGGAAAACTGACTTGACTTACCAGGGCTTGATATTTGTGATTGGTTGAATTGGGTATGATAGTCGCTCTGGGCTCCTGTTCACCTCCAATCTCATCACAGGAGAAAAACTCGCTGAGCTTCTGAACACTGGCCAGAAGAAAACAATACAGTATGTCATGTCATATTCAACCATTACAACTGGATTTACTACTTATATGCCAATTATTTGCTCAAATATCAAGAAACAACTCCAGTTTTGTGACATTCTGAGACCCTTCCTAGAAAATAAAAAAGGTATAATACAAAAGTATATAGGACTCCTATGTAACTGATAATATCACACACACTGAGTTATGGTATCATCACAGTATACTGACTGAAAAGGAAATCATCTGTACTGCTTATTGCTCACCATTCAATTCCAGTCTGAAATACTACCACAGCCCAACATGCAGGAAATAAATCCAAGACATAGAGATGTCAGACAGATGCATTTTATTCTCCTATCTTGCAAATAGATGATGTTGTAAAGTCACTGAAAACAGCTGATGCTATCAGGAAAAACGTTGATCACTAGCGGCCAGTCAATTTCCTTCATGTCATCTATTGAGAGCGGTGGCAGATGTGGTGTGTTCTGATCTACGACCTGCTCGTACACTATAAATACAGCCTTCGCTCTCTAAATGTGTTCCACATGGCTGGGTTGATGATACTGAACCCGAGGCACACAGACACACATTTCTTTCTTCACAGGAGAGTCAATCAGCGATGAGAAGAGAAGAAGCGCACGGCTGATCTGACGTGATTTATCACACACTGACATGAGAAACACACAGGGCCGATTCTTTACATCCCTGGGTGCTTAATTAAAACCTGTATATCCTGAACCCGCATTTTTGGCAGAGTGACTGCTATCGCACAACACCACGCGCAAATTAAGCCCTAAATTGAGCTATGTAATTGGTGCAGCAGAAGTAGTCTGGGATATAAAAAAGGGAAATATAAATAATAAGTTAAATGTTGAACCCTATAAAGCCTACTATGGTATTTGATAGACCTCTAAATTATCAGTCTATCTAAAAATCTATAAAGTAAACATACTAAACTTTATTGTTAGTAATATTTCAAGAAAAACACTTCCTGGACTGAAGCAACTTAGCTTTAGTTGATTATCCATACATAATTATTTTTAGAAAAATCATGTTGAAATGTGATATGATCATCGGGCTTTTGAGGAATGTTTATTTAGTATTTGTTTATTTGAGCAAAATTTATTTATATCTCTCAATCATCATTGTATTGCATAGTGTTGCTTTCGTCAACGAAAATTATGATTAAATATAGTCGTCAACGAACCTTTATCACGTGACGAAAATGAGACGAAACGAGACGAAAATGCTGGTCATGTGACGATGACGATAATTAAATGTACAATGCAATAAAATAAAAACGAGACGAAATGTGGCTTACAAAATAAAAACTATGCTAAAATGTCTCTTCATTTTCGTTGACCAAAACGAGACGAAAGTTAAACGAAATGTTATAACGTTATTTCGTCTTGTTATTATTATTATTTTGCAGTATTTCTGTTTCCTGTGTCTCGCTTCAGGGGCTGCATCAGGTCGCACTGCGCAGACGCAGGCGACGTCACTTCCTCAAGCCCCACTCGCGGCATTATTTAGAACAGTGTTTCCCAACCGGGGTCTGTCGAGAGCAGGGGTGCCCTGTAAAAATCTTTTTAAAATATTTTTAAATTGCTAAAATGTTCAAAAAAAGCAGCTATTATATAATATCCATTTCTAATGCCGCCAATAATTAGAGATGCACAGAAATTCCGGCTCCCAAAAATGAGTTCACCGCTCAGGATTCACTTGTGTGTGTGTGTGTGTGTTATCATGCTCTATGCGTGTGTGTATTATCCATAGACT